AAAGTGGGTGATGGGCATTGAGGAGGGCACCTGTTGGGATGAGCACTGGGTGTCGTATGGAAACCAACTTGTCGATAAATTCTATTAAAATAAATAAATCATTAAAAATAAATAAATAAATGAAAATATTTTTCCTCTGAAAAAAATGAAAAATAAAACTAAAAAGCAGAAGTACAGAGTGTGGCATGTTTATGTGCTGAATAACATGGTTACCTTAAATTTTTTTTCATGTTTATTTATTTATTTTGTTTTTGTTTTTGTTTTTTTTTTTCCAACGTTTATTTATTTTTGGGACAGAGAGAGAGACAGAGCATGAACGGGGGAGGGGCAGAGAGAGAGGGAGACACAGAATCGGAAGCAGGCTCCAGGCTCTGAGCCATCAGCCCAGAGCCCGACGCGGGGCTCGAACTCACGGACCGCGAGATCGTGACCTGGCTGAAGTCGGACGCTTAACCGACTGCGCCACCCAGGCGCCCCATCATGTTTATTTATTTATTTTGAGACAGAGAGAGAGTGAGCGCGAGCAGGGGAGGGGCAGAGAGAGACGGAGAGAGAGTATCCCAAGCAGGCTCTGCACTGTCGGCACAGAGCCCAACGTGGGGCTTGAACTCCTGAATTGTGAAATCATGACCTGAGCTGAAACCAAGAGTTGGACACTCAACTGACTAAGCCACCCAGGTGGCCCAAGAGCTCTGTGCTGACACTGTAGAGACTGCTTGGGATTCTCTCTCTCTGCCCCTCCCCAGCTCATGCTTATTCACACACTCTCTCTCTCAAAATAAATAAACTTAAAAAAAAAAAAAAAAGAGTTGGATGCTTCACTGACAGTCACCCAGGGGCCCCATGGTTATCTTTTACAATTATTATCAATTGTAACTGCATATTCAATTCCAGTCTTAGTACACTGTCAACTTGGTGAGGGGAGGGACCACATCTGACTCAGCATCTTCTCCCCTCTGCCTGGCACAGGTCACGTGCCCAGTGATGTCCATCGTATTAAATTCCCTGGTAGTCCCTGTGCTGTGTGCTTCCATACATTTTCTTTCAACCTTCACAACGACCTTATGAGGCATGATTATTCTTACTTGGCTGATGAGGGCGCTGAGGCACTGAGAGGGCTGGTCAATTGTCTAAGGCCAATGCAGCTGGACAGATGAGGACACGTTCTCTGCTCTTGAGGAGGTCAGAGCAGAGCAGGGGAGCCCATGGTAGCTCCAGGGTTTTTTCTTGATAACTTCCAGATATAGATTTGAGACTCCTCACAAGGAGCTGGAGAGAGAAGTAACCTACCTGTGGAGCTGGAGAAGTGGGCTGGCACCATCGAGGTCCCTGGGAAGTGCACAGGGGTCACAGGAGCTAAGGATGAATAGTCTGGAGTAAGAAGGGGACTCAGGGGAGTAAGAGTAGGGAGTCTTTCCTGTCCAGCTAGAGCCACTGAATGTAGAAGGAACTGGGTAATACCGTCAGGTCTCCTAGCCACTTCTCTTCCCCAGGCCCTGGGGCAGGGGATCAGTGGCTGTCCACCAGGGGTCCACAGCATGTAGTCATCAGGGCTTTGGGTACTCACCACTGGGTGTGGGGGCTGAGGTCCAGTGGGTGTAACCTGAAATGAGAAAAGGAGACAGAACTGGGATGCAAGCAGGAAAGAGAGGTCCATGATATAGCCCAAAGCCCACCAGTCCCTACCCCCAACTAAGACTTCAAGTCTATGCAGTTCAACAATTGTGATTCAGGGGTAACTTTACCTTGTTTCTAAAAGGCTGAGAAATCAGAGACCCGGTCCCCTGTCTTCATGAACTTGCAATTTATTTGGGAAGACAAATACACTAACATTTCTAGAAATGGGGTTGTCAACTGTGCTTTTCAGGCTCCAGAGGGGATTTTGAGATAGACACTGACAGGGACAGAGATGGCCAGATCTTTGAATAGCCATTGACTTCAGCCAGAGAGATACCCTCTTTTATCAGTCTGGATAAAGACTTTGTGGCCCAGACAAGTATATAAATCACAGCCCTGAAATGCAGGGCTGCAAAGAGAAAAAAAGGATTTGCAAACTGGAGGACCTATGGGGGTCCTTGACTCATTAAGGGATATCACGCAGGTGGAGAATAACACATAGGGTGGGTTCTATGATGAACTGGAGAGTTCACATCCCTTGCGGGCGGGCGGTGGGGGGCAGATTCTTAGCTTTAACTTGTGGTTACAAAAAAGGTTGCTCACCATTGACATAGAGGCTGTTCTTGTCCAGGGTGAAGGAGCCCAGCTGGGTGGCACCATGGGTCTGATGGCTCAGCTCCCAGTACAGCTTCTCTCTGTCTAGCTTAGGACCCATGGGGTCAGGATGGTGAGTACAGACAGCATCAACTCCAGTGGCTGTTCCCTTTTTCTCAGGCCTGGGCAGGGAAAGACACAGGAAAGGGGAGGTGGGGACTCCAGGTAGGAGCCCGGGAAAGCCCTACTGAAGGAGGGACAGAGAGAGCAGAAGGGCTAGTGGACAACCTGGAACAGCCTTGGTGCTGGGGGAGGGTTGGAAATGATTAGGACAACCAAGGTCCTTGAGCACAGAGGATATGCAGCATCTCCAAATACTGATGCCTTGTGCTGAGCTTTAAAACGGAGCTAGAGTATATTATTCTAAGTGAAACAAGTCAGTCAGAGAAAAACAAATATCATATGATTTCACTCATATGTGGAAGTTAAGTAACAAAATAGATGAACATAGGGGAAAGAGAGCAAAAATAAGATAAAAACAGGGAGGGAGGCAAACCATAAGAGACTTTTTAAAAAATGTTTTTATTTATTTTTGAGACGCAGAAAGACAGAGCATGAGCAGGGGAGGGGCAGAGAGAGGGGGAGACAGAATCTGAAGCAGGCTCCAGGCTCTGAGCTATCAGCACAGAGCCTCACATGGGGCTTGAACTCACGGACTGTGAGATCACGACCTGAGCTGAAGTCAGCCGCTTAACCGACTGAGCCACCCAGGCACCTCCAGAGACTCTTAAATACAGAGAACAAACTGAGGGCTGCTGGAGGGAGGTGGGTGGGGGATAGGCTAAATGGGTGATGGGCATTAAGGAGGGCGCTTGTTGGGATGAGCACTGGGTGTTGTATGTAAGTGATGAATCACTGAGTTTTATTCTTGAAACAGATGCTAACAACAGATGCATGATGGAGAGGACTTAGACAAGGTAAGAAAAGGCAATATCAAATTGCTTAAACCCCAGCTCTGCTGCTCAGTTGCTGGCTGACTCTGAGGAAGTCTCTCAACCTGTCTGTAGCTCATTGTTTTTTTCATCCATCAAATGAGGTAATAGGACAGACCCTACAGCACTTAGCACTAGTAAATGCTCAGTAGAAGACAGCCATTTTTATTAGGCATTAAGAGGGCCAAAGTTCTTGGTGTGAATGGACCTTGCAGTGAGAGAGACTGAGCCTTTTCAAAGAAACAGTGAGGTCAGCAGGCAGCCTTGGGTGGAGAGGGGCATGAGGCTGTGTGGTATCTGAGAGCTAGAGAAATCTCAAGGCCAGCGGAAAGGGGAAGACATAGCATTGTGGCTGGAGGACAGTGATGTCTTTGGAGCTGAGGGCATTCCATCCTCAGACAAAAGGTCAGTGATTGGGAGATCTCACACAAAGAGTAAGGTGAGCCAAGTGCACATGTGGGGGCTCCCACATGCTAGAGTTATTCTCAGTACCTAGGTCTAGGCAAGGTCACGAATAATTTACTGTGTGTTCTTTATATGTTAGTTCCTTTGCTAACTAAGCACCTTTCATTTTAATCCTCAGTATGCTCACACAAATTCTTTCCTTCAGTCAGAAGTGGAGTCTGTTTCGGGGTGCCTGGGTGGCTCAGTCAGTTAAGTGTCTGACTTCAGCTCAGGTCATGATCTTGCAGTTTGATCTCATGGAGTTCAAGCCCCGCGTTGGGCTCTGTGCCGACAGCTCAGACCCTGGAGCCTGCTGCTTCAGATTCTGTGTCTCCCTCTCTCTCTGCCCCTTCCCTGATCACACTCTATCTCTGTCTCTGTCAAAAATAAATAAACATTAAGAAAAAAAAAGAAGCAAAGAGATTCCATCTCTTGAATCTGGGCGTGGCCATAGAACTGGAATTGGCCAATGCACGTTCACAAATGTGATACAAGCAACGGCTTGGAAGGCACGTGTGCAATAGGGCTTGCCATTTCTTGCTGCTCTTGGAACTCTGAGCGTGTGAATGAGCCCAAGCTAGCCTTCTGGAGGATGAGACAATGTGGAGGAGAACCAAGGTATCCCAGACAGCAGCTGACTGCAGACACAGGAATGAGCCTCATCTGACATCAGCTGAGCCAACCCAGGCAGGAGAATCTTCCAGCAGAATCATGGGCTAACTTTGTTGTACAAGAAAGCAAATTGAGATACTTCAGCTGACAGGTGAGAAGGTAGAGGCACAGAGATGTTAAGTAACTTGTTCAGGTCACACAGCCTTGAAGTAGGAGAGGTAGGCCTGTCAGACTCTAAATAAAACTGCATAGGGGCACCTGGGTGGCTAAGTTGGTTAAGCGTCCCGACTCTTGGTTTCAGCTCAGGTCATGATCTCATGGTTTCAGGAGTTTGAGCCTCGTGTTGAGCTCTGTGGTCATAGTGTGGAGCCCACTTGGGATTTCCTCTCTCTCTCTCTGTCTCCCCCCACCCCACCTTTTCTTCTCATGCTGTCTCTGTCTCGGCCTCTCTCAAAATAAATAAATAAACTTAAAAAAAAACCCCACTATATAACCACTGTACTTTACTACTCAGTGATCCCAAGTCCACCTCTGAGAGGTCAGAAAGCAGGATTTGGTCACTGCTGGCTAGGTGTTACAGGCAGGCCAATCATTATCAAAAATTTGACATAAGCAGGAGAGAGAATTATGCATCCCCTAGAGCAAGGTTTCTCAACCTTGGCACTGTGCACATTTCGAGTCAGATCATTCGTGGCCCTGAGAGACCATCCTCTGCATTGTAGGATATTTAGCAGCATCCCTGGCCTCACTCACTAGATTTCAGTAGCAACTCCCACCCTTGAGTTTTGACAACAAAAAATGTCTCCAGACATTGCCAAATATCCCCTGGGAGGGAAATCATTCTTGGTTGAAAACTATGGCTCCGTTGTGATAAAGCCAGCACGGCTGACCAGTTGTTTTCTTGATGAGTTCCAGAAGAAAGATCTTTCAGAAAAGTTCAACCTTGTCACCTGGGAAGGGCAGTCCAAGAGGATTCTGCATTTTCTGGTTAGGAATGCAATGTGAGACAGACCGGCAGTTGGTGGTCAGCTGTTCTGGGATGATGGTCCAGCTCGTGGTCCCTCTGCCCCCTGCACATGGCCTGCATGTGAACTCTGGAGTTCTCACCTGAGCAAGGTCAATCTGCAGCCATAATAGAGGGGCCCAATGCTGCTGTTCTGGAACAAGGGTTTGAGCTGGGGATGAAAGACATGGAAGTAAGAGGATGGGCTGAGGGGCTGGGAAGGACAAAAGTAGGCACTGGAGGGCACGCATTGGAGGGGCTCTCACCAGACGATTCAAGATCCTCTCTACAGAGTTGAATAGCTCAGATCCTGGGGGCCCCATGCCCTCTGTGTAGCGCAGGTTGGTGATGGTGAAGTTGAGGGTGAAGGGCACCAGAGACAGGCTCACACCTGCAGCCAGAAAGGGCGAGAGGGACTCCATTATGATTCTCTGGTGGGGATGGCTGTAGGTGGCAGATCCAAGGGTGGCCACCGTATCTGTGTCACCCTTGCATCCAGCCACATTTGGCCTCCAACCTGGACGGATTATTTTAGCTGGAAAAAGAACCTCAACTCTTCAGCCCAGTGTGTCTAAAGAAAAACAGTTGGTGGACATTTGGGTAGGAGGAAAAGAAGCAAAATCACTCTGTTGCCCCCTGGGGTGGAGGTCTCCCATTGTCCTCTGACCTCACCACGAGAGAACTTGCAACCGCTGAGTGGGCCTGTCTATTCCCCCTGAGAGTGACTCCTGTCTCAGTTTCACTAAACCGTCTTTGAAGAGTGGATTTTACATGGACTGACCACATCTCCTAGTTTTCCCTGAACAGTCATGTGGCTTGCATGTAAATATTAATTAGAACCCTCCCTCTCTTTGTCAAAAGTGTCCCATAAGACAAACACAAACGCAAACACAAAAACACTGTATGGTCATCCTGGGGTTAGGGTGTGAAGAATCGAATGCCAGAGGTCTGAACTGGGTGACAGTACCCTTTACAGATTTCATCTGAGGAGCACCAACTGGGGGCCAGTCTTTGTACTGGGCATTTCATTTCTGGCCTCTCAGCTTACCCTGACCACAATCCTCAGAGTCAAGTATTACCAGTTCCATTTTACAGTCTGGGAAACTGAGGCTCAGAGAAAGTAAATTTTGCCCAAGTCCCACAAATGAACAGCACAGCTACAATACCTTTTTTTTTTTTAATTAAAAAAAATTTTTTTTAATGTTTATTATTTTTGAGAGAGATAGAGACAGAGAGCAAACAGGGAAGGGGCAGAGAGAAGGAGACACAATATCCGAAGCAGGCTCCAGGCTCTGAGCTGTCAGCACAGAGCCCGACGCGGGGCTCAAATTCACAGACTGCGAGATCATGACCTGAGCTGTAGTCGGCTGCCCAACTGACTGAGACACCCAGGCACCCCTACAATACTTTTTTTAACTCAAAAGTAGGTATCTTTCTGTTTGTACAGCCATGCTTATAGCAGCATTATTCACAATAGGTGAATATTATTCACAGAATATTAGAATTCTATGCTGACAGCTCAGAGCCTGCAGCCTGCTTCAGATTCTGTGTCTCCTTCTCTCTCTGCCCCCCCCCCACTCACACTCTGTCTCTCTCTCTCAAAAATAAATAAAAATGTTTAAAAAAACTGAAAAAAAAATGACATCTTGCCATTTGCAACAACATGGATGGAGCTAGAGTATATCATGCTAAGCAAAATAAGTCAGAGAAAGACAAATACCATATGATTTCACTCATACGTACCATTTAAGAAACAACACAAATGAGCGAAAGGGAAAAGAGAGAGAGAGAGAGAGAGAGAGAGAGAGAGAGAGAGAGAGACCAGGCAGGAACAGACTCTTAACTATAGAGAACAGACTGATGGCTGGCAGAGGGGAGGTGGGCGGGGAGATGGGTTAAATGGGTGATGGGGATTAGCGAGGGCATTTGCTGAGATGAGCTCCGGGTGTTGTACGAAGTGCCGAATCACTAAATTGTACACCTGAAAGTACTCCCACACTGTATGTTAACTGGAATCCAAATAAACAACAAAAAGAAAAGAAAACCTGCAGTAGACGAAGCTACAGTAATCAAGACAGTGAGGTACTGCATTAGGACGGACAGGTAGATCAATGGGATGTCATTGAAAGTCTAGAAGCAAAGCCTCACATTTATGGTGAATTGATTTTCAACCAGGGCGCCTGTATAATTTAATGGAGAAAGGAAATTTTTTAAATAAATGGTACTGGCATAACTGGGGGAAAAAAGCAATCGGAGCTAAAACTTGCCCCAATTTCTTGAAAACATACATTTTCAGATTCAGGACGCTTCAAAAATCCCCAATAGTATAAACTCAAAGAAAAACCATGTTCCGATACATCATTATCAAACTTCTGGATACCAAAGATGAAGAAGAAATCTTGAATGCATCTACAGAAAAAATGACGTCATCAGTCATGGAATGACTTGGTCTGTAGCACATGCCAGGCTTGTAGGAGCTAAGCCTGTTACAGAAATGGTTGAGTTGATCAGGGTGAACAGTAGGGACTGGAGAATGCGCATTCTGTCTAAAGCTTGAGAAAAGTTTGCAGTGTCTCGACTCATAAAACCAAGAATTCCAGAAGACAGAATTCAAATTACAGCTCACCAGCTTGTATCCCATAACTCTAGATGCACATGGCAGGATTAAAGGTCGGGGATGCCCTGTCTTGGTCATGACATAAGTGTGAAAACTACCTATAGACTCAAATTTTAAAATAAATCTTAAGGGTTGGAGTAAGACAAGTTTCCTGACATAAATCAAGCCCTTGTTTCAGGTTCCTGGAGACTCAAGAGCCCTTAGACCCACATCTGGGTCAGATGAGGAGACAGAGCAAGAATCGAGTCCAGGACTAAGATCCTGAATGATTTTTCTGGACGTTCAAATAAAATCCACAAATGTGGACATACGCAAGATTGCTACATTCATTCATCCAACCAGTCAATCAGTATAAAGTGAGTGCAGACTAGGTGCTCAGCTCCAAGGTGACAAATACATAAATACTGAATAAAGCAAATAGCAGTAAATTCCATCAGAAAATACTCATGGTTGTGGATAGTGAAAACCTGTGGTCCAGGTATGTATTCAGATGTGCTACTTCCTATAAGAGGGTCTAGGAAGGTCTTTCAAAGAAGGTGAGATTGAGCTGGGATCTGAAAAGCAATGAGGTGCCAGGTGTAGTGGATCTCCAGGAAGAGCTGATATAAAGTCCAGAGGTTAGGACACTAGAGAACAGACAGTGTCTGATGTGGCCAAAGTTTGGAGAGTGAGGGAGGGAGTGAGTAGGACATTCTGAGGGTGGGTGGTCTACAGGAACCAGACTGTGTGGAGTTGAAGTTTTATGGGTCCCAGAGAGTAGGCTCCTACCTGTAGAGCTGAGGATGGGGGGCTGAGATGTGGAAGATTCTGGAGAGAATGTAGAAGTCACTGGAGCTGAGAAAAAAAAGAACAGGGGAAAAATTATAAAGTCCCATCCTGAATGAATGGGGGACTAAAGATATTCATTAGAATTTGGTCTTCTGTCTTGACTCAGAGCAAGACCCTGGGTGGGTTAGGGGCTCTTCTGAGTCTGTAGCTAGACACTTAGGGCAGGAGAATTGGCAGCTTCTCTCCAGAAGAATGTGTTTTGGGGAATAAGGGTCCAGTGGGCATTGAAATTTCAGTCTTGAATACTCACTGCTGGTGGTAGGGTTCCAGTACCGGTGGTTATAACCTGCAGAAAGGAGTAAAGGACTGTTACAATGGGTAAGAGCTAAGGAAGGGGTAGACAGTAGACCCAGAGATGAAATTCATTAGCAAACTTGCTGTGATTTATAAATGAACAATAATGGCTCCTACATTTCATTCAGTGCCCTCATGTGGCTTATCCCTTGAAAATAGTGATGAACATCGTTCCCATTATTATTGCCAAAATAAAAATACAATAATAATAACTGCCCCTTTTTATTGGGAATGTACTATGCACCAGAAATAATACTAAACAGTACATTACAAGGTAATGTAATTACAAACAAGAGTGTTCCAAGGCTTATCCACAACTTTATCCTTGCTCTCTCAGCTTCTCTCCCTTCACAAAATTTTATGATAGTACGACTTTATCTTTCTAGCTTAGTTTCTGGCGGGGGGGGGGGGGGGGGGGTTGGTGGTGTTTAAGTGACAAAATTGTGGCCATTAGAGAGAGCGGTCTATGGAAGCAAGATGGAGGAGAGGGAATGTACATGTGGTTTGGAATATTAGAGAAACTTTGGGAATGGGCTAGGATAATGAACATGAGACGAGACTTGGAGGTCAGATGGATGGCATAAAAATTGGAGTCTGAAAGGAATTGGGGAGAAGAGAATTTTTCATCAGTGTTTCTCTGGGTCATGATCATCTCCTTGGATGTTCTGTGAGGGGTGGGAGTCATTTTGGACCCAGAGGAGCCCCATGATTTACTTGGGTTATTCCTGTGAACTATCTCATTTGACCATCAGGAAAATCCTGCATGGTATATATGTTTATTCCATTCTGTAAGTGGGACATTAAAGCCCAGACGGGTTGCGTGGCTTGCCCAGCATCACATAAAACAGAGATCTGTCCCTTGCCAATCACTGTCAACCACCGTTTTAAGGAAATATACAAGCTGATATAGAGGGGACATAACTAACCAAGCATTAGGTTAGATTGTTAGGCTAGAGATCAGTTATGCCCCTTCCTATCCTGAGATTTGAGGCTTTCTCTATCTGGATGGTCTGTGGTGTTGTCTTGTAGTTAGGAACTTGGAGTTTAGATTCAATCTCCAGTTTGTTTGAGTCTTGACCCTGTCAGGCATGATGGCTGGATTATCTTGGGGAAATGACTTCCTGTCTGAAAGCATGATGGCTGTCTCCATAAAAATGACTGTAACAACTCACAGGGTTTTTGAGTAAGATCAATGTGAGATAATACCTATAAAAGACTTTATCACAATTCCTGGCACATAAGAACCTTTTGATAAGAGTTAGCCGCAATTGTACTTACTATTCTCAGCATTAGCATTGCTGTTAGGGGCATTGTTGCTAATGGTGTTGTGTAAGTAGATATTATTCATGGACTATTTGCTAAGTGTGATGTTATCTCATGAAGACTGTGTCATACTGACTGGTCTGTGGGCACTTAGTAAATTGGTCATCATTGTGAGAGAATGAAACGGGGTGAAGGCTGAAATGGTCACCTGCTGCCCATTTGGAAAATTTAACCACACAGGTCTTTATCACCCACTTCTTTTCCTAGAGTCTGCATGTTGGTCTCTTATGGGAAGCAGTGAAAATGAGGAAGAAAAAATGTTATTCCAGGAGGTGAAAAGGGAAAGGAAATCAGTTTCCCATGATGCGTTAGGCATTCAAAAATGAGTCTCCAAGGAAATGCTAGGTTTGCATCGGAACCATCAATCTGTATACAGCAATTTCCCAAACTCAGCATTATTGACATTTTGGTCTAGATAACTCTTCATGGTGGAGGGCTGCTCTGTGCACTGTAGGATGTTTAGCAGCACCCTGGCCTCTACCTACTAGATGTCACTAGCACCGCTCCAGGTATGATGTGAAATATCTCCAGACATGCCAAATGTCCCATGGAGAGCAGAATTGCCCCAGGTGAGGAGCACTGGTAGAGAGAAACATGGGGCTGGGAGATCCCAACTACAGCACAGACACTCACCATTGACATAGAGACTGTCTCTGTCCAGGGTGTAGGTGCCCAGCCAGGTGACACCGCGGGTCAGCTGACTCAGCTCCTGGTACAATTCTTCTCTGTTCAGCCCAGGGCCCGTGGGGTCCGGACGATAAGTGCAGGTCACGTCCACTCCTGTTGTTGCTCCACCCTTCTCAGTCCTAGGGCGGTAGGGACGTAGGAATAGGGACATCCTGAGATGTGGGAGAGTTACATACTTTGCTCACCTCTTGCCTTCAGCCTGCCCCACCCCCAGCCTTGGCCTTATGACATCTCTCTTTACCGGGTCTTGTCTGGTTTCTCACACACATTCTTTTCTGGGACCTTCTCATCCAGGTATCTTCCTACTCCTTAAAGTGGTTAATCTCCAAGGCTTCATCCTCAGCCAACTTCTACTCTTTTGGACTCGTTCTTCTTGAGTCATATGGTTCATACTCATTGGTTCAGCTATCAGCTTTATTCTCATGGGATCCAATCTTACTCTCTGGCCAAGACCCCTCTCCTGAGCTCTGGGCCATGTCACCAACAGCCCCAAGGATGTCCTTCAGACTTATTATATTCCATTTGTCCCAGATTAAGTTTATTAATTCCCCCTAAAGACACAGAGTCTCCTCCTTCTGCCATGTTTCCATATTGGGGCCAGAACCAAACATGTGGGAGGCATCCTGGACCTCCCCTGTCCTTGGTCCCCCCATCCAAGCAACATCTAGGTGAGCCCAACATCTCACTGATTTCCCCACCTCCTGTCCCATTATCACATCAAATTTTCCCATACCCATATCTACCTGTGTACTACTTAAAATAAATGACATTACAGCAAGGTTCTGCTTAAAACTCCATGAATCCCTGCCTGATCTGAGATATGCCAACCCTTGAAATACTTCTGCCAAAATGTCTTCTGGCAGTTCTTTTGGCTAATGATCATTCAGCTCAGGCATCACCTTCTCCAGACTGCTTCCACTCAACTCCCCCACATTCAGCTAAAATTCCATCTTCCAGGCTCCTATGGCTTCCATGTAGTGCTTTATCGTTGTACTAATCCTGTTACTATTATGTTTAAGTTCATATGGCTGCCCTCCTCTCCATACTGTGGGTACCTTGAGGGAAGAGTCCATGACTCAATCTCTAGGTGCCCTTAGCACCTGTCACAGGGCATGGCCTGAGGTACCTCATTTCATTTCTGACCAGTCAGTGTGAATGCTCCATGGCTCTTCTTATCCAAGTAACTTAAGACCTTTATTGGACTGCCACCTCTTTCAGGAAGTCCTCTCCGACACACTCAGCCAGAGGGGATGCCTTCCATCTGAATTCTTGGAATTCCATTCGAAGCCATTTATGCGTCTTCTAGTTGCCATGTTTAGGTCCTCACCGCCAGGTGAACTTGCCTGTAACCGTTGTGAGGGAGGGGAGTCTCACCTGAGCAAGGTCAGTCTGCAGCCAGAGTACCGTGGGCCAATACTGGTGTTCTTGAACAAGGGACCAAGCTGGGGAGGAAGGAGAGAGAGGTGAGCATGAGGGGCTGAGGTCACTGGGTGGGGTAAGGACAAGGCAGGCCAGGGGAGGCATTGTGGGGCTCTTACCAGGCGATTCAGGGCCCTCTCAGTGGAGTTGAACTTCATGGAGCCTGGGTGCCTCATGTCTGGGGTGCAGAGCAGGTTGGTGATGGTGAAGTTGAGGGTGAATGGCACCAGGGCTGGGCCCACAACTGCAGCCGGAGGGAAGGAGAGAGAGGAGACCCATCACAGTTATAGGCCTGAGCTATACATTAGGGGGAAGGGACTAGTGCCATCTCTGTCCATAGCATCCCGTAGGTGAGGCCTGAGATATCCCATCTGGGATACCTCCCTCCTCAGCCAGCCAAGGGAGGACCTCCATGTTAGATGTGTCCTGTCAGCTCAAAAGGAAACCTCAATCTTCTCATCCCAGAGTGTCCCCAAAGGCTGACCTGTCACAGACATTTTGGTGGCAAGAGGAGGCACCAAGACCTTTTGTGCTCAGATCATGGGCCACAAATTTCTTGAGAAGTCAAGAAAGCCAAACGGTAGTAATTTCCATGAAGGAAACGATCACAGAGATAGAGATTAGATCCCACCTGTGTGTGGAATATGGGGACATGATGCTACTTTATGGGAGGAAGTCTGAGCAAAAGCTGAGCTGAATCTGGAGGACAACGGGAGATCAGGAACAGATCTGAGTTCCCATTACATAAGAGCAAAGGCTCTGAGGATGGGAGGATGTTTGGTCCCTGAAACAGAAACAAGGCTGGTATGGCCAGAGATGGGGGAGCACAGGAGACAGGCTGGAGATCAGCCAGAATGGGAGTTGAAGTTTCCTGGGACTCAGAGATCAGACTCCTACCTGTAGAGCTGGGGGTGGGGGGCAGAGATATCGACGGTCCTGGAGAAAATGTGGAGGTCACCAGAGCTGAAGGAAAACACAACATCAACATAAATCATGAAGCAGTAAGAGGACAGGGCTGTTGATGGGAACTTGTGTCTCTAATTGGTGGTCTGGAGCTGCTCTGGGGCTGAGAATCTGGGAGTGGGATACGTGGGTACTCTCCCTTAGGAATGGGTGCAGGGAAGAAGTGTCCCAGGGACGCAGGGACATCTGGGCCCTTGTGACTTACTGCTGGTGGTGGGGGTCCAGTACTGATGGTTATAACCTGCAGAGAGAGCCAGAGAGGAAGAGGAAGTCAATGGGAGGAGGTGGAGAAAAGGGTGAGGGGTAGGACTTGAAACATGGACACAGACCCTTCTCCAGTGCTTTCTCTGAGACTCATCAAAGATAATGATGGCTGCTCTTTATGAGTTAACTGCCTGGTACTCCAATGCTCAGGACTGTTTCATCCTCTGTATCATTAACCACAAAGACCACAATAATCAAAATACCCCCCACCTTGTTGGGGGTTCATGAGGTGCCGGAAGCAACAGCAACCTCATCAGATGAGTCATAGGAACAACAGCTTTATGCGTTTCCAGCCTTATGTGTGTTTTCTCCACCAATTAAATATAACTTTGTCCTTGATCTCTGAGTTTTTCCTACTTCTCTGGTTTTCAGAAACAGCTTGGTTTTTGACACAGTTCCTGGATTTCTGTAATGTTGAACGAGGGAGAGAGTGAGATAGACAGACAGACTGGGGAGTCAACCAGAAAGCATCAAGTTGGAGAATAAGAGGGAGTGGGGAAAAGAGGGTCTGAATAAGTATGGTTCTGGGTCATAGATTGGATCCTCTCTGAGGCTTGGTAAGCAATGCAAGTAAAACTTAGACTTATTTTATATCTGATGGTCTGACTAGGTTTCTTGAAATGAAACTCTTCTCTGAGACTGGACCCGGTAGAGGGAGCCCTGTGCTTTACTTACATTACTCAGGTTTTATCCCAGTTGACCTTTACAATAAGCTTAGGTGAGGGTTTTAAAAATTCCATGCTAAAAACAGACACTTCAGGGCCATAGGGGGAGCAAAAAAACAGGACCAGCACTTAAAGAAAGACCTGTAAATCACCCAAACCCACACTGTCAACTACAACTTTAAGTAACTCTCAAAGACTATTGAAATACAATACAGATTTTATTTTATTTATTTAAAAAAAATTTTTTTTTTCAACGTTTATTTATTTTTGGGACAGAGAGAGACAGAGCATGAACGGAGGAGGGGCAGAGTGAGAGGGAGACACAGAATCGGAAACAGGCTGCAGGCTCTGAGCCATCAGCCCAGAGCCCGATGCGGGGCTCGAACTCACAGACCGTGAGATCGTGACCTGGCTGAAGTCGGACGCTTAACCGACTGCGCCACCCAGGCGCCCCTACAATACAGATTTTAATCCAGATAGAAAGAAAATGTCAAAGGCAATCCATAGGGGACATGATTGAGCTTTAGTTTAAATTGTTGTGTTAGAGGCTCCTTGATATGCCTTCCCATCCTGAGATTTGAGGCTTGTTCTAGCTGGGTTAGTCTGCAGTGTAGCCTTGTAGTTGGGGTCCCTTCTGGGGGCCTTAGAGCCAATTTAGGGTTTGCGTCATGATGTTACCATTTATATAAGGTTTCTGATCTTGGGATAAATAGATGTCCTTCCTTGATCCTTGTTTGCTCCTCTGTAAAATGTACATAATGCCTCACAGAGTGCTGGACAGGATTAGTAAGACACAATATACACAATGTTCCAGATCACAGGCATCCCTCAATAAATATTAGCCTTTAGTGCAGGCGTTACTGTGGGTTTTGTTGCTAAGAACGTTGATGCAGAGGGATTTATTGCTAAAAACATTGCTAACAGCTTTATTGTTTGCTTCTCAGGTGGGTTGTAGTTCTGCCTGGCCCCTGGAGGATGAGTAAAGGGCCACAAGCTGTTATAACAAAGAGAAAAAAGTGGATCAGTCCCCACTTTGGGAACTCGTTGCCTGTTGGGGAGGAGTTAACGTCAGCAGCCACTGCGGGCTTGCTTTGTCCTCTTCCTTCTCTGACGTTGGGTTTCTGTGAAAGGTCACTGCAATGAGAGACTATGGAGAGAGCCTTTATTTCCAGACCTTGGAAGTTGTTCTGTGAGCATAAGGTGTTGTAAGTTTGAATCACTATACTGTACATCTGAAACGAATGTAACACTGTAATGTTAACTAACTGGAATTAAAATAAAAACTTAAATTAGGGGCACCTGGCTGGCTCACTCGGCTAAGCGTCCGACTTTGGCTCAGGTCATGATCTCGTGGTTCCTGGGTTCGAGCCCCGCGTCAGGCTCTGTGCTGACAGCTCAGAGCCTGGACCCTGCTTCGGATTCTGTGTTTCCCTCTCTCTCCATCCCTCCGCTGATCATACTCGGTCTCTCCCTCTCAAAAATAAATAAACTTAAAAAATTTTTTTAATAAAAACTTAAATTAAAAACATAAAAACAAATAATAGTAGGACTTAGAGAAGAATTAAACGAACATGGATGTTCACGCTGCTGATATTGGAGAGGCTCCGTTTATGCAACCAGAAGACTGTAGTGGTGACAGGTTTATCAGCATTCACAAGAAAAGCTGTGACAGAAAAGGTGAGAATATCTAAAGGAGGTAGCATCCACAGACAAAAGTTCACATTAATGAAATTTTCAGAGATAAATTACCACACTGAAAGCACACAGGGCAAAATGCTGGAATCTGATGGAAACTTAGAAAGCGATATGACAGTTCACCCTGGTACAGAAAAAGATGTGCTCTGTATTATAAATGATGTGATGAGAAAAAGGCAAATGCAGGTCCTAAGAATTTTCCAAAAGAAAAAAAAAAAACGTTTTGTTCTCAAAGTTTCTCATGTTAAAAAATTTTTTTAATGTTTATTTGCTTTTGAGAGAGAGGGGGGCGGGAGGGGCAGAGAGAGAGGGAGACACAGATCCAAAGGAGGCTCCAGGCACTGAGCTGTCAGCACAAAGCCTGACACGGGGCTCAAACTCATGAACCGTGCGATCATGACCTGAGCCGAAGTCAGATGCCCAACCGACTGAGCCACCCTGGTGCCCCAAAGTTTCTAATATTTAAAATGACAGGTTATTAAATATTAGTTTTACGAAAAAAAAAAAGAAGAAGAAGAAAGGAGGAAAGGAAAGAAGGAAATAAGGAAGGGAGGGAGGGAGGGAAGAAAGCTCTGTAGGTGTTCTGAGAAAAGAGAATTCCCCCATGGAAATTCTAGGTTGGCCCAGAACTATGAACCTGGGTACTGAGAAATTGCACTGCAAGGAGACCCCATCTGGGACTCGGGAGGAGACCCCAACAGCAGTAGAGGTTCTCACCGTTGACACAGAGACTGTTCCTGTCCAGGGTGTAGGGGCCCAGCTGAGTGATGCCATGGGTCTGCTGGCTTAGCTCCTGGTAGAGCCGCTCTCTGTCCAGCCTGAAGCCGGTGGGATCTGGGCGGTAGGTACAGACTGCATCTATCCTGGTGCTTGGCCCATCCTTCTCAGCCCTGTGGAAGGAAGGGCACGGGAATAGGGACATGCAAAGACACTTGAGAGTTGGCTACTCTTGACAGTTGTGTCCTTCAATTGTACCCCTTGATGTTTATGTTAGCACTCTTCTCTGGGTTTCATCTACTTTCTCAAACACATCTTCTTCTGTCTCATATGGGGACCACCTCGCCTTCTGAAATGTACTCTTCTCCAGGGCTGCTCCATACCTAGTCTTCTGCTTTTGCTCCCCAATCTTTTCTTCACTGGTTCATGCTCATTGTTTCAACTACCAGCAGCCAGTACAGTCCCTGTCCACTCAAGAAGGTAAGTACAGGTGACATCCCCTCCAGTAAGAGCCGAGTCCTGCTTGGGCCATGGGATTGGGGGTGTGGAGCTCCCAGGGAGGAAATGAGGATCCTGAACCCAGGCAGCATGACTGAAGACCTTGGAGGAGGTGAGTGAGTCACCTCTGTGTCTGGCTGTGACTCTGTCTTAACAGCCATCATGGAGCCTAAAGGGAAGACTTTGTTTCAAGTTGGTGAACCCCAAGGCTGAGGCCAACCCCTTGGGAACACCTTTGGAGCAGACAACCAAATTTTGAGGAAAACAAAAACAGAGAAGATGACATAAGAGGCAACAAGGGGCAATGTGGTTCAAAAATACTTTTGTCCTGAATTTAAGCTGAATCTCTAGTGACTCATCTAGACTGGGGGCTTTACAAGAAGAGAGATCCCCTCTCTTCCTTGTCTGGGAGTTCTCGCTATCGCCCACGCTAGTCAAAGCATTCCCATTTGATGCTCATTTAGGGTAGGACAGTGGTTCTCCAAGTGTGGCTCAGGGACTCCTGGGCTTCCCAAACTCTTACAGGGAGCCCACCAAGTAAAAATATTTTCGTATTCATACCAAGACATTATTTTCACTTTTATTCTCTTAGGAGTACACAGTGAAATTTTTTTCCCAGAGGCTATGAGATGAAATATTGTAAAAGATCAAATGCAGAAGCAGAGGAGGGCCTGGCTGGCTTTGTCAGAAGAGTATATGAGTCTTGATCTCGGGGTCACGGATTCAAGCCCTGTGTTGGGTGTACCAATTACTAAAATAAATAAATAAACTTAAAAAAATGCAGAAGCAGACAGCCTACTGTCTTTTACTAAAACAAGCATCAAAAATATCTACAAAAATGTAAACAATGGTCCTCTCCTTGTCATGCTTTTTGGGGGGGGCAAGGGGAGAGGGGAAACATGGCTATTATTCATAAAAATAATGTTATTTGTGTTAACACATAATAGGTTTGTTATTTTAAATAAATGAATGTATTAATATAGTGTTTGTCTTAATTTTGGATCCAGTAAATACGGGCAGATACAACCCCCAAGCCCAAAGGCTCTTTGGAGTTCTGAGTACTTTTAAGGATGTAGGTTGTTGAGCCCAATGACCTTGAACACTGCTGTCTCGTGGTTAAAGGGAGAGACTCAAGAACTGGAACCTCTGGGTTCAAATCCTGGCTCCTCTCAAGTACTTTACTACTCTGAGCCTCAGTGTTCTCTTCTGCAATGTGGGATAATAATCGTGTTGTAAAGATGAGATGAACGAAAACATGTACCTCACGTAGATTCTCGGTGGCATGTTGTATGGGCAATATCATCTTATTGATGCCCCCATCTCATGGGGAGATGGGGGCAGGTGTGGTGGGTGGAGCTCATTTAGGATGGCTTTAGTCTATAACACTTGGTTGTAGGAGCACAGAGAGGTTATGCAACTTGCCCAAGGTCACACAGTTAACAAGTGAGAGATCAAGGGTTCAAACCTAGAAACTTTGGATTCACTATGATATACTGTCTCTTGGCAAAGGCCCAAGGCTGTGGTTGACTGAGACATGAAGGACCAAGAAGGGAGAGAATCGGGGTATCTGTAGGTGCTTTGGAAGAAGACTCACCTGAACAAGGTCAGCCTGCAGCCATCATAGAGGGAACCAACACTGCTGTTTTCGAACAGAGTCCTGAGCTGGGAACAAATGAGAGAGTGATGAACCGGAGGGGCCAAGATGGCAGGGTGTGGAGGGCTTGGGATGAGATGAGCATTGGTGGGGGGCTCTCACCAGGTGCTGCAGGTGTCTCTCAGTGGCATTGAATATCTCAGAGCCCGAGTTCCCCATGTCCTCGGTGTAGTGCAGGCTGGTGATGGTGAAGTTGACAGTAAAAGGCATCAAGAAAGGGGCTGCAGCTGTGGTGGTGGAGAGAGTAAAATGAGGTCAGTTCCGAGTCAGGCCTGGGCTGGGGGTGGGAGGTGAGGCTCTGAGGACCCACCTTAACTCCAGCACCTAGCTGGGGCTTGGCCTAAGCTGTCCTTTTTGAGAACACATCATGTCACCATTTAAGACCCTCCCACATAGGGTGACCAACCATCCCAGTTTTTCCAGGACCATCTGGGTTCCTGGGATGCTGACTTCCAGCTGGAAAAGTGATATAGACTTGGGAAAACCAAGCTGGTCACCCTCCTGCCACTTCCCCTTGGCTCTTACCGTTTCAGCATGCAATAGCACCTGTATCTCTTTGTTGCAGGGGAATGAACAGGCCCCAGGGAGCATCCTGCTAGCAATGATTGATGCGGGTTGGCGGATACATATCCCAGCTCCCTAACCCACTCCCCAGAGAGGAGGACTCCAAAGTTCACATTCTGTGCATTCTCCTGGGGTTCCCCTCCAGCCTTCAGACCTGATAAATTTCTACCATTCGAGGCAGCTGGTGTGTGATACCTCACTGCTATTGCTCTAACGAACTAGCACACCACACGGCCATACTCCAAAGAACTGGAAACGGACTCAAACAGATCTGTGCATACCCATCTGCATAGTTGCACTATCCACGGTAGCCAAAAGGTAGAAACAGCATGAGTGTCCATCAATACACGAATGGACAGATAAAATGTGGTCCATCCATACAATGGAATGTCATCCATCCATAAACAGGAATGAGGTTCTGATGCACACTGCAACATGGATGAACCATGAAGACACTGTGCTCAGTGAAATAAGTCAGACACAAAAAATCAAATACACTGTGTGATTCCACATACATGAGATATCTAAAGTAGGCTAATTCAAGAAGACAGAAGTGGATTAGAGTTACCAGGGGCTGAGGGGAGTGGGGGAAGAAAGCTAATGCTAATGGGGACACAGATCCCATTGGGAGTGATCAAAGGTTTTGGAAAAAGGACAATATTCATATAATACTGCGAATGAAATTAATGCCACTGAATTATGCATCTAAAATGGTTAAAATAGCCAGTTCTATATTATATACACATTTTTACCACCGTAAAAAAAAAAAAAGTCATTCTTACTTGTTTCTGAAGTCACACTCAGAGAGGTCAAGGTGGACATCCCAGCTGAGGTCTCAGGGACAAAGGGACTTGCCACAGATGTATTGAAGGTGGCTGCAGTCTCCACCATGATGGGGCCTGAGCCTGTGGCAGCTAAATTAGTGGTCTCAGGAGTTGTGGTTTTCAGGATAGCAGTTGGACTCGATCCATCTCTGTGACTGGTTTTAGGTGGTGTTGGGGTCTCTGATGCTATCAAGGTCACAGTGTCCCCTGTCACAGTCTTGGACAATTCCAGGAGTTCAATTGAGGTCACAGGTGGTGAGGGTTCTGTGCTCCAGGAAGTTAAGGTATGAGACTCACCAGTGGTTTCAGGGGTACTGACAGGCCCAAGAACACCAGCAGTCAAAGTTGGGCCACCTGTGCTGGCCTCTGATGCAGCACTGGTGGCCAATAAGCCTGTGGTCTTCAATAACACAGGGGAAAGAGTTGACGTTGAAATAGTTGTGATATCTGTGCCAAGATGGGTGGAGAGTGAGGCTGTTTCTACAGGAACACCAGGTGAGACTGTTGGACCCAGATCAACTCTGCTGGTCTCCATCATGGATGTGGTGAAGGATGTTGTCTCTGGTAGACCGAGGGAAACAGTCCGAACTGGAGGAGCTGTACTCATCTCCAGCTCAGGTTGGACAGAGAGTGAGGCTATGGTCTCTGGTAAATGAGGAAAAGCAGTTGAACCAGGAAAATATGTACTTGTCTTTGCACTGGGGTGGGTGACCAATAAGCCTGTGGTTGCTGGTTCACCAGGAGAAAGAGTCAGACTTGGAATAGTCATATTGGCATCTGTCTCAGAAGTAGGAACGTGAGAGGTCACCATATCTGCTGCACCAAGAGAGACAGTTGGAGTTGGAACCACTGAACTGGTTTCTTCCCCACGGCTGGTGGCTATTGACTGTGTGGTGTCTGGTTCACGTTTGGAAAAAACTGGAGTTGTTTTGGGGACAGTTGGGCTAGTTTCTTCAGAATGAGTGACTGATGAGACTGTTGTATTTGTCTCCTTAGGAGAAATAGTCAGAGTTGGAACAGCTGAACTGGTTTCTGTCCCAGAATGGGTGACCCATGAGGCTGTCATCTCTGCCTTTTGTGGGGAATCAGTCAGAGTTGTAAACATTGTACTGGCTTCCACCCCAGAACTGGTGACCAGTGAGGTCACCAGCTCTGGCACAGTAGAGGAAACAGGTGGAGCTGGAATGGCTGAGCTGGTCTGGATCTCAGAATAAATGATTGTTGAGGCTGTGGTCCCTGGCTCACCAGGAGAAAGATTGAGAGTGGGAATGACTGTACTGGCATCTTTCTCAGAACTAGTGACCTGTGAGGTCACCATATCTGGTACACCACGGGGGGCAGTTGGAGTTGGAACAGCTGAACTGGCTTCTGCCCCATGGCTGGTGGCCATTGCGTATGTGGTATACAATTCACTATGGGAAACATTGGGAGTTGTCCTGGAAACTGTTGGGCTGGTCTCTGCAGGATGGGTGACCAATGAGACTACTGTATCTGGCTCCCCAGGGGAAGCAGGCAGAGTTGGAACAGCTGAACTGAACTCTGTCTCAGAATGGGTGACCCATGAGCCTGTGGTCTCCATTTGACCTGGAGAAAGAGTCAGAGTTGTAAAAGTTGTACTTGTCTCTGGCCCAGAACTTGTGGCCAGTGAGATTTCTACCTCTGGTACGCCAGGGGAGATGGTCAGAGTTGGAATGGCTGAACTTGTCTGTGCCCCAGAACTGGTAGCTATTGAATGTATGGTATCTGATTCACTGTAAGAAAAATTGGGTGTTGCCTTGGGAATAGTTGAGCTGGTCTCTGCAGGATGGGTGACCAATGAGACTGCTGTATCTGGCTCCTCAGGGTAAGAAGTAGGCAGAGTTGGAATAGCTGAACTGGCTTCTTTCTCTGAAAAGGTGACCCATGAGGCTGTGGCCTCCAGTTCATTCAGAGAATCAGCCAGAGTTGAAAAAGTTGTACTGGTCTCTACCCCAGAACTGGTAACCACTAAGGTCACCAACCCTGGTATGCCTGGTGAGATAGTTGTAGCTGAAAATGAACTGACTTCTGCCCCGGGAGTGGTGGCTGTTGAGAGTGTGGTACCTGATTCACTATGGGAGAAATTTGGAGTTATTCTGGAAACAGGTGTGCTGGTCTCTGAGGAATGGGTAACCCGTAAGGCTGTCTCTGATTCATGTGGGTAATCAGTCAGAGTTGGAAAAATCGTACTGGTCTCTGCCTCAGAATTAGTGACCAGTGAGGTCCCCACTCCTGATACACCAGGGGAGACAGTCAGAGTTGGGATGGAAGAACTGGTCTGTGCTCCAGGATGATTAACCCATGAGACTGTGTTTGCTGGTTCTCCAGGAGAAAGAGTCAGAGTTGAAATAACCATACTGGCATCTGTCCCAGAGCTAGTGGCCTGTGAGGTCACCATATCTGGTACGTCAGGGGAGATAGGTGTAGTTGGAACAGCTGAACTGGCTTCTGTCTCAAGGCTGGTGGCTGTTGAGGGTTTGCTATATGATTCACTATGGGAAGCACTGGGGGTTGTCCTGGGAACCGTTGGGTTGGACACTGCAGGATGGGTGACCAAGGAGACTGTTGTGTCTGATCCATACAGGGATTCAGTCAGAGTAGAAGAGGTTGTACTGGTGTCTGTCCCAGAACTAGTGGTCTGGGAGGTCACTGTAGCTGGCACACCAGACGAGACAGTCACTGTTGGAATGGCTGAACTGGCTTCTACCCTAGGAGTGGTGGCCATTGAGAGTATGGTGTCTAATTCACTTTGGGAAAAATTTGGAGTTATTCTGGAAACAGGTGTGCTATTCTCTGTGGAATGAACCCACAAGGCTGTTGCATCTGGCTCACCAGGGGAAACAGTTGAAGTTGCAACAGTGGAAATGGCTTCTGTCCCAGGAGGGGTGACCCATGAGGCTGTTGTCTCTGGTTCATGTGGAGAATCAGTCAGAGTTGTAAAAGTTGTATTGGTCTCTGCTCCAGAACTGCTAACTGGTGAGATTCCCACCCCTGATACACCAGGGGAAATGGCTGGAGTTGGAATGGCTGAACTGGTCTGTGCCCCAGGATGGGTAACCAATGAGGCTGCTGCATTTGGCTCACCAGGGGAAGTAGTCGCAGTTTGATCAGTTGGGCTGGTCTCTGCTCCAGAATTAGTATCCATTGAGGTCACCAGCCCTGGCTCACCAGGAAGGACACTTGGAACTGGAATAGATGAACCGCTCAGTGCCCCAGGTTGGGTGACCCATGAGGTGTTGGTCTCTGGTTCATCTTGGGAGTCAGTCAGAGTTGAAATAACTGTGCTCATCTCTGCCCCAGGACTAGTTACCAGTGAGGTCACCATTTCTGGTACACTAGGAAAGACAGTCAGAGTTGGAACTGCTAAACTGACTTTTTCCCCAGAACCAGTAGCTGTTGGGGGTGTACTGTCTGATTCGCTGTGGGAAACACTCAAGGTTGCCCTGGAACCAGTCAAGCTGGTCTCTGCAGAATGAAAGGCTCGTGAGGTTGTGGTCTCTGGCTCACCAAGGGAAACAGCCAGAGTTGGAGAAGCTGGACCGTTCTCTGCATCAGAACTAGGGACCAGTGAGGGTGTAGTCTGTGAGCCTCTATTGAAAACAGACGGGGTTGTCCTGGGAACTTCTGTGCTGGTCTCTGCCCCAGGTATGGTGGCCAATGAGGCGGTCATCTGTAGAACATCAGAAGAAATATCTGGGGTTGAAATGACCGTTCCTCTTGTGCTTGTGCTGGTCACCTTGCCTGATGTCCTGAGGAGAGTCCATGTTCCCGAAGCGGGGGTAGAGACAGTAGTGGTCAGAGTTGCTGTAGAGGTGGTCTTCAGAGCTGTGGTCTCTGCTCTCTCCATCCAGTCTGTTGGTAGTCCTGTGAATTGGGGGATGGACACATAGTTTGCACAAAATAATTGCCGCTTACTGGACTGGCACTAGCTACTTTTTTCTCCACACGAGGAAACGGAGAGAAATGTCTCTGCCTGGGGTATATGCTTCTGGAACGGGAGAAGGAATTGTCAGAGGCATCCCCGCACCTTCCCTTTCTCGTGTGGCACTGTAACTCCATGAATTCTTAACCACTCCTTTTTCCCAAACATTTTCTGTACTCTCCGGCCCCCGAGCCTTTTCTTAAGGCTGTTTCTCTTGTCTGCCTCATCCATCGTTCATCAGATTCCTTACGTTCTGCCCTTCTTCAAACCCTAGCATGAACCTACCTTTACAAATCCATGTCAGAATTCATCTTTCCCTTCTCGATATTTCCTTATCCTAATGTCTGAATCGACACAGCGGCACTCCTCACGGTCGGCTTGGTAAGAGCTATTCGTAGCCAGAAGACTGCTTGGCATACAGTAGGTGCCCACAAATATTTGCTGAATAAATGAGCGAGTGAATGAATGGATACATAGATGGAGGTATGCAAAGAGAGATGTCTTCTCTGGCTTGAGAGAGATCAGGTATCATTGTGCTCAAGAGCTTGGGCTCCGTTAGAAGGTGGTCCTGCACTCAGATTCCGACTCCCCCACTAAATGGATGTGTTACCAAACCTTGCTGGACTTCCATATTCTCATCTGTAAAGTAGGTATAAGTACAGTGGCCATCTCAGAATGCTGATAAAAATTCACCCAGCACGGTGCCTGGTTCAAATACTGCTAGTACCTGCTATCACTGCTGTTAACTCCTATTACCACCTATTACCATGGTTATTATTACCATTACTTCGGCTACTATTACCTCCTATCACTGGGGTTATTACTGCTATTTTTACTACTTTTTGTGTTTCCACTACAAAATAAATGTTTGCTGAGTCGGAATTTGCCAGGAACCATGCTAGACCAAAGCTGGCCAAGGTGACTAGAATTCAGATTCTGATGACGAGTAAAGTTGCATTGGCCGAGACAGCAGCTACTGACTGGGGCCTCAAAAAATGGTCCGAGGGAAGGATGGAGGACCATTGGGAGGCTTCTCCAGAAAGACCACAAAGCCCATTGACTTGGTCCAGGAACAAAATAAAAAGGATTTGGACTCTGATGGGGAGCCATGTCCCTCTTTTACTAAGACCATCTAAAAAAAACCCCACATTTCTGGGAGTGGATATTCTAAAATGCTTTATATGTATTTGGTGTTGATGGGGGGGGGGGGACAATTGCCAAGCACCTAGCATGCTTTATCTCTTTTATCCTCATCAGAGCACTTAATATACATTATATTGTTCTTGCAGTTTCGCAGAAGAGAAAGACAGAAACTCAGAGCTCATCATCTGCCAAGGTCACAGAGCTGCTGGCCACTGGTGTGGAAATTTGAACATCGTTCTGCCTGAGTGCTAAACCAGCACTCTCCAGCACTGAAATCTATGATTCCCTAACTGAAGTTCAAGATCCTGTGGGAGCCAGCATGAAAAGAGAAGGACGTAAGGAGAAAATGTCCATCCGGAGAGGTTAAACAAGAGTTCTCTGGTTCAGTGGTTCTCAAACCTGGGGTGATTTTGCTCCCAGGGGATACTTGGCGATGTCAGGAGACCTTTTTGGTCATCGCTACTGTGTATATGTGGAGGGTGCTACTGGCATGTGGTGAGTAGAGGCCAAGGATGCTCCTAAACATCCCACAGTGCACAGGACAGCCTGCAAGTAATTATTTGCCCGATGGGACTGAGGCTGAGAAACCCCACTCTATTTTGAAAGCAGTCAGTGAATATGGTTAGCTATTCCTCAGAAGCTTTGCCATCTAAATACTGGTCACCACCTGAATGAAACCCAGTGATTCATTTCTTGGTGACCCAACATAGTCAGTCCTGTCAACGCCCCACTTATACCCTATACAGTGACGATGGGATCCTGATGCAGCCTCTGTGACTCCACACCTAAGGGCGTTCACTCAGCCTGTGTGTGTTGGGGTGCGGGGCAGGCTGGAAGTGCTGAGGGTCAAGCATCCCACAGCCAATGACAGAAGGAAGTTGGCTGACAAAAGCCCCAGCTGCTTCATTCCTCAGATTAGACAACACTGAGATGTTCTAGGCTGTCTCCCAGAGCTCCCCAGTGGGACCGACACCGTGGCCCGTAGCTGTGGCCTGATCATGAATGCACCTTGCATTGACTTCCCTTCCTTGTCTTCTCCAGTGCTTCCTGGGACCATCCCCCACCTGTGACAAACCACTTCTCCCATATTCTTAACTCAAGTTTGCTTCTGGGGGAACCAAATCAAAGATGCCTGGTCACAGGATAAGACTAATAACCTGACTGGGGGGTAGGAGTGACTCTGTCCAAAGACTGCATCTTGGAAAAAGACTCCAAAATGTACTGGTAAAATAGACTGGTCTCCAAAAATCTTGGGAACAGCTTAATGGGTATGGGGAGCTTTACCTTTTAACCACACAATGAAGAGGACCCCTTGCCATATACACCTGCACCTCTTAAACTCTCAGACAGAACAATAATACTGAGAAATGTTAACAGGTGCCTTTTAGAGGGAAAGATTCCACATCAATAATGGTGTAAAACCCTAGGTTGAATAAAGCCAAACGAATTTCTTTACAGTAGAATTTCTCAGAGCCTTTAATATATTTATGCATGCTATCGTTCTTTAGGAAGGAGCAATATATTCGCCAAACTTTTTTTTTTTTTTTTTTTTTGCCACAAAATTCTTTGTCTTTTTGTTAGGGGTATCCAAGCATTACCAAGCCTTAGAAGGTTTCCTGAATATCATTTTCTGTTGCTGTCTCCAGGATCATTTCCCACCACTCCATCCTTCTACCTCACACTTTAGCAAAGGTGAATTATTTGTTCCTCCAAGATATTTCCAGTTTTACCCCTCTCTGTGCTTTTGCATGTGGCTGGCTGTTCCCTCTATCCAGAATGTCTCCATCAACTCCCTTTGTCTTTCTGGTAAATCCCTAGTCATCCCTTCAAACCCAGTTCAAATATTATCCCCCCCATGAAGCCTTCCTTCTATAGTTCAAATACATCTTCATTGCATACATTTACATTTGCATCACAGGAATTTCGTTCCTTTGTTGTTTCCCACGGGTCTGAGAGCTCTGAGGACACCGTGCCCAAGGATTCTCATCTGCACATCCTCAGCTTATAGCACAGTCTCTAACACAGAGAGAGTGATCAATACGCATTTTCAGAATTAAGTTAAACTGGGTCATATTTGTGGGATTGGCATATCCACCCTTGAACTAAACTCACTATGCATGTTATGAGGAAAAGAAAAGTGGTAACATCCACCTGGTAACAATTAGACAAAGATCCAGCTAAGACAGGGAAGCCCATGACCACCCCACATTATTCTTTCTCTTAAGAAACACTTCATCTCTCTGGAAGAGGAAATAAGGTCACAAGTGGGATTACAGGGAAGTAAGCAAAGGTGAACCTACCTATAGGACTGGCAGATGATGTGGGTGCCACATGTACATGGACTGGTCCTGTGACACCTCCATGGGCTGCTTCATTGGGTATCTTTGTAATACGCTCCACGACGCCATCAGTCCCTGTGGGTGAGGGTGGAGAAGAAACCTGGGTTAATTCATCTCATCCAGAGAGAGAGCACTGTTCAAATGAATCCACTTCATTGACTATACAACTCAATTCTTCTCAAGTCCAGGACTTGAGCCAGGGCTATATGCCACGAGTGACCAGCCCTGTCCATTCGCCCATTCATCCACCCATAGATTTGTCCATCTTTCCTTCTACCATTGCTATATGTACCCATCCATCCTTCCTTCTTTCATTTATCCATTTTTCCATTCTTCCTTTGATCCTTCTATTCCCCCAACCACCCTTCTACCTTCTTACCATCCTGCTTATCCCTTGCTTCCTGAACACCCATGACTCAACTACTGAGCCATGTTTTAAGACCCGGATCAATACCTGTCAATGTACCAATCAATTTTATTGTGAATTGAGAGGTAACCAAGTCATCCTCCTATAGATGTTGTCCATCAAAGCAGGTGCTAAAGTGGTTAGCTAAAGTGGTCTCCCAAACAAAAGTTGGGGCCAAATTCAACTTTTCAGAGGAATGGAATCCCCAAGAGGTTCCTTTCCTCATCTTCAGATCTCTTGGAGGGGTGTACCTCTTCCTAGGCCCCAAGTCCTTCCCACATCCCATACATACTTTGTTCGATCATCTTTTATTTGCTCACCAATTTCTTCACTTTTCCCTTGTGTTTGACTCTGTCCTTAATATAAAAACATAATCATTTCAAAGGGGGATATTGAGCCTATATCTATGTGAAATTTAGCTGTTTTGCTAGTTCTATTCAACCCGTTCATACTCCCTTCATTAGAGTCCCTGAGGGCCCACACGTTGTCAAATGACTCACCTCATTTCAACTTGACTATCAAGCATCTGATGGGACTGACAATTTTCCTTCCTAAAACTCTCCCCTCCTATAGCTTCTGTGATGCCAGAATCTCTTTCTTTTTCTCCTCCCTCCTGACCACTGCTGCATAGCCTAATAATTAAAAGCATAGATTCCTAGTGCCATATAGTCTGAGTTCTTACTACTTATTAGCTTTGTGATCTTGAGCAAATCACTTAACCTTCTGTGCCTTGGTTTACTCATTTGTAAAATGAGCTTATAATTATCTTTTCTTTTTTTTTTTTTTTTTAAATTTTTTTTTCAACGTTTATTTATTTTGGGGACAGAGAGAGACAGAGCATGAACGGGGGAGGGGCAGAGAGAGAGGGAGACACAGAATCGGAAACAGGCTCCAGGCTCTGAGCCGTCAGCCCAGAGCCCGACGCGGGGCTCGAACTCGCGGACCACGAGATCGTGACCTGGCTGAAGTCGGACGCTTAACCGACTGCGCCACCCAGGCGCCCCAATAATTATCTTTTCTTTAAAAAAGTTGTGTTGGAATGAGGATTAAAAAACTTAAAAAAATTTTTAATGTTTATATTTATTTGAGAGAGAGAGAGAGAGAGAGGCAGAAAGAGGAGGAGACACAGAATCTAAAGCAGGCTCCAGGCTCTGAGCTGTCAGCACAGAGCCTGACATGGGCTGGAACCCACGAACTGCGAGATCATGACCTGAGCCAAAGTCGGATGCTTAACTGACTGAACCCACCCAGGCGCCTGAGGATTATGTAACTTAATAAAACAGTGCCTTGACATAGAATAAGTGCCCTAGGAAAATCTATTGTTACTGGAGTGCCTGGGTGGCTCAGTTGGTTGAGTGTCTGACTTGGGCTCAAGTCATGATCTCACAGTTCGTGGGTTCAAGCCCTGCGTTGGGCTCTGTGCTGATGGCTTAGAGCCTGGAGCCTGTTTCAGATTCTCTGTCTCCCCCTCTCTCTGCCTCTCCCCTGCTTGCCCCTGCTTGTGTGTGTGTCTCTCTCTCAAAAATAAATAAGCATTAAAGAAATAAAAATCTGTTGTTATTAGCATTATCGTTGTCATAATCATAGTAATGTTAAAACATCTATCATGGTACTGGAGTCATCCAATGACTTGCTTATTTATATTTGCTTCTCCAGTGCCTAGAACTGAGGATAGATCAACAAATGTTTGCTGAAAGAATTTCTGTGCAGTAATAAACTCCTAAATAACTCCTTTATACCTCTCAGGAAAAGAGTCATCTCCTATGAGCCCCTAATAATGGGAGTACAGGATCAGTAGGTCCTTACTTGTCAGCTGTGTTGAGTGTGGAGGAAGTTGAGAAGCCCTCGTCTCTGTTCCTAAGTGAATCTGCTCTGTCATTCTGGTATCCACACTGGATGATAAAGATGTCCTGACTGGCTTGGTCCATGTCTCCAAAGTACTGGCCACAACCAAGGGTCCTTCAGCAGTGCTGCCCTCTGTCCCTGTGTTGGTGGCCACTGTGTGCGGGGTAGCCGTTGAGGAAGTGCTCCCCTGGGGGGCTGGGTTGGTTGAAACATCTGTGGTAGTGGAGGCCGAAGAGGGGAAAGGCATTGAAACTGATGAAGGTAGACTGTCTGCCACAGTGGACAGAGCATCTTTAGGGCCTGGTTGCGTCCAAAATAATGGACTGGCTGAGAAGGCGGCTGAGCTGGCACCTGGGACTCCAGATGTAGCTGCTGACGGAGAAGGTGCCAATGTGTCAGCTGAAAGGGTCTCAGCTGAAGACAGCATTACTGTGCTCAGGTGATGAGTCCTTTCTGATACAGACACAGAAAGCTTGGGTTCTGGGAAGGAGGTTACACTGGCAGGCCCTGCGAAAGAGAGAGATGCGTAAGAGAGAGAGATCCACTTGAATTCCATCACACTGCCAAGATGAAGGCTGGTCCAAAACTCATATTTTCCCAGTGACTTCAGGCTTGGAACCCTTGAAAGTATGAGTGGACAGGGGCACCTGGGTGGGTCAGTCAGTTGAGTGTCTGACTTGTGATTTCAGCCCAGGTCACGATCCCAGGGCTGTGGGATCGAGCCCCATGTCAGGCTCTGTGACAAGGGTGGAGTCTTCTTGAGATTCTCTCTCTCTTCCTCTGCCCCTAGCCCCTGATCTTGCGCATACTCTCTCTTTCTCTCTCTCCCTCTCTGTCTCCAAAATAAAACAAAACAGAAAAACATTAGCGGACAGAGGAGAGAAAGGTGTGTTTAAAGGTGACTATAAACTAGAGTCTAGGGCTATGAATGTCTCCTGCAGTCCAGGATAGAGATGGGAAAGTGGCCCTGCCTCAACATTCTGGGGCCAAAGAAGATCAGTATTGGAGTGGAAATATTAGTCTCTTCCGTGGAACAGATAATGCCCATTGGATAAGAGGTTCTGCAAGGCTCATTAGGACAGAGAAAGGTGCCACATTGCAGAAAAGCTAGTCTACACGTTAATTACAACTATAGTTGTGAAAAGAAATGTATATTCTTTTAATTTACAGTAATGTCAAGGGTGGCCATTGTTTCAAAGGAGGTGCTCTTCCATAATGGAGATAAAATGATGAAAGATCCCAAGACTATGACTAATAAAACTCTGTCAGAGCTAGAAATGTGAGGTGAGGTGAGAGGAATAGGAAATAATTTTCTAATATCAGTTATTGTGAAAGAATCTAAAGAAAGGAAGGGGGAAGCATGGAACACTACCAAAAAAGCAAAAGCAGGGTTTAAAAGAAAGAAAGAAAGAAAGAAAGAAAGAAAGAAAGAAAGAAAGAAA